TTCTTGCAAGCCGAAGAACACCATCCCAACCGTGAAGCACGGGGGTGGCAGCATCATGCTGTGGGGGTGCTTTGATGCAGGAGGGTCTGGTGCCCTTCACAAAATAGATGGCATCATGAGGAAGGAAAATGATGTGGATATATTGAAGCAACATCTCAAGACATCAGTCGGGAAGTTAAAGCTTGGTCGCAAATGGGTCTTCCAAATGGACAATGACCCCAAGCATACTTCAAAAGTTGTGGCAAAATGGCTTAAGGACAACAAAGTCAAGGTATTGGAGTGGCCATTACAAAGCCCTGACCTCAATCCTATAGAACATTTGTGGGCAGAACTGAAAAAGTGAGTGCGAGCAAGGAGGCCTAAAAACCTGACTCAGTTACACCAGCTCTGTCAGGAGGAATGGGCCAAAATTCACCCAATTTATTGTGGGAAGCTTGTGGAAGGCTACCCGAAACGTTTGACCCAAGTTAAACAATTTAAAGGCAATGCTACAAAAAACGAATTGAGTGTATGTAAACTTCTGACCCACTGGGAATGTGATGAAATAAATAAAAGCAGAAAATAAATCATTCTCTTTACTATTATTCTGACATCTCACAATCTTAATATAAAGTGGTGATCCTAACTGACCTAAGACAGGGAATCTTTACCAGGATTAAATGTCAGGAATTGTGAAAAACTGAGTTTAAATGTATTTGGCTAAGGTGTATGTAAACTTCCGACTTCAACTGTATATATACAGTGAGGGAAAAAAGTATTTGATCCCCTGCTGATTTTGTATGTTTGCCCACTGACAAAGAAATGATCAGTCTATAATTTTAATGGTAGGTTTATTTGAACAGTGAGAGACAGAATAACGTCAAAAATGTTATAAATTGATTTGCATTTTAAATGAGGGAAATAAGTATTTGACCCCCTCTCAATCAGAAAGATTTCTGGCTCCCAGGTGTCTTTTATACAGGTAATGAGCTGAGATTAGGAGCACACTCTTAAAAGGAGTGCTCCTAATCTCAGCTTGTTACCTGTATAAAAGAAACCTGTCCACAGAAGCAATCAATCAATCAGATTCCAAACTCTCCACCATGGCCAAGACCAAAGAGCTCTCCAAGGATGTCAGGGCCAAGATTGTAGACCTACACAAGGCAGGAATGGGCTACAAGACCATCGCCAAGCAGCTTGGTGAGAAGGTGACAACAGTTGGTGCGATTATTCGCAAATGGAAGAAACACAAAATAACTGTCAATCTCCCTTGGCCTGGGGCTCCATGCAAGATCTCACCTCGTGGAGTTGCAATGATCATGAGAACGGTGAGGAATCAGCCCAGAACTACACGGGAGGATCTTGTCAATGATCTCAAGGCAGCTGGGACCATAGTCACCAAGAAAACAATTGGTAACACACTACGCCGTGAAGGACTGAAATCCTGCAGCGCCCGCAAGGTCCCCCTACTCAAGAAAGCACATATACAGGCTCGTCTGAAGTTTGAATCATTCAGATGTTCATTGGCAGAGGAGAACTTGGGTGAAAGTGTTGTGGTCAGATGAGACCAAAATCGAGCTCTTTGGCATCAACTCAACTCGCCGTGTTTGGAGGAGGAGGAATGCTGCCTATGACCCCAAGAACACCATCCCCACCGTCAAACATGGAGGTGGAAACATTATGCTTTGGGGGTGTTTTTCTGCAAAGGGGACAGGACAACTTCACCGCATCAAAGGGACGATGGACGGGGCCATGTACCGTCAAATCTTGGGTGAGAACCTCCTTCCCTCAGCCAGGGCATTGAAAATGGGTCGTAGATGGGTATTCCAGCATGACAATGACCCAAAACACACGGCCAAGGCAACAAAGGAGTGGCTCAAGAAGAGGCACATTAAGGTCCTGGAGTGGCCTAGCCAGTCTCCAGACCTTAATCCCATAGAAAATCTGTGGAGGGAGCTGAAGGTTCGAGTTGCCAAACGTCAGCCTCGAAACCTTAATGACTTGGAGAAGATCTGCAAAGAGGAGTGGGACAAAATCTCTCCTGAGATGTGTGCAAACCTGGTGGCCAACTAACAAGAAACGTCTGACCTCTGTGATTGCCAACAAGGGTTTTGCCACCAAGTAATAAGTCATGTTTTGCAGAGGGGTCAAATACTTATTTCCCTCATTAAAATGCAAATCAATTTATAACATTTTTGACATGCGTTTTTCTGGATTTTTTTGTTGTTATTCCGTCTCTCACTGTTCAAATAAACCTACCATTAAAATTATATACTGATCATATCTTTGTCAGTGGGCAAACGTACAAAATCAGCAGGGGATCAAATACTTTTTTCCCCTCACTGTATATTCACATATATACACACACACTACCAGTCAAAGGTTTGGACACACCTACTCATTAAAGGGTTTTTCTTTATTTTACAGATTTTTACATTGTAGAATAATAGTGAAGACATCAAAACTATGAAATAACACATATGGAATCATGTAGTAACCAAAAAAGTTTCAAATATTTTATATTTGAGTTTCTTCAAATAGCCACCCTTTGCCTTGATGACAGCTTTGCACACTCTTGGCATTCTCTCAACCAGCTTCATGAGGTAGTCACCTGGAATGCATTTCAATTAACAGGTGTGCCTTGTTAAAAGTTAATTTGTGGAATTTCTTTCCTTCTTAATGCGTTTGAGCCAATCAGTTGTGTTGTGACAAGGTAGGGGGGGTATACAGAAGATAGCCCTATTTGGTAAAAGACCAAGTCCATATTATGGCAAGAACAGCTCAAATAAGCAAAGAGAAATGACAGTCCATCATTACTTTAAGACATGAAGGTCAGTCAATACGGAACAATTCAAGAAGTTTCTTCAAGTGCAGTCGCAAAAACCATCAAGAGCTATGATGAAACTGGCTCTCATGAGGACCGCCACAGGAATGGAAGACCCAGAGTTACCTCTGCTGCAGAGGATAAGTTCATTAGAGTTACCAGCCTCAGAAATTGCAGCCCAAATAAATGCTTCACAGAGTTCAAGTAACAGACACATCTCAACATCAACTGTTCAAAGGAGACATTAGGCCTTCATGGTCAAATTGCTGCAAGGAAACCACTACTAAAGGACACCAATAAAAAGAAGAGACCTGCTTGGGCCAAGAAACACGAGCAATGGACATTAGACCGGTGGAAATCTGTCCTTTGGTCCAAATTTGAGATTTTTGGTTCAAACCGCCGTGTCTTTGTGAGATCTCCACATGTGTAGTTCCCATTGAAAGCATGGAGGAGGAGGTGTTATGGTGTGGGGGTGCTTTGCTGGTGACACTGTCTGTGATTTATTTAGAATTCAAGGCACACTTAACCAGCATGGCTACCACAGCATTCTGCAGCGATATGCCATCCCATCTGGTTTGGGCTTAGTGGGACTATCATTTGTTTTTCAACAGGACAATGAGCCAACACACCTCCAGGCTGTGTAAGGGCTATTTTACCAAGAAGGAGAGTGATGGAGTGCTGCATCAGATGACCTGGCCTCCACAATCCCCCGACATCAACCCAACTGAGATGGTGTGGGATGAGTCGGAAGGCAGAGTGAAGGAAAAGCATCTAACAAGTGCTCAGCATATGTGGGAACTCCTTCAAGACTGTTGGAAAAGCATTCCAGGTGAAGCTGGTTGAGAGAATGCCAAGAGTGTGCAAAGCTGTCATCAAGGCAAAAGGTGGCTATTTGAAAAATGTCAAATATAAAATATATTTTGATTTGCTTAACACTTTTTTGGTTACTACATGATTCAATGTGTTATTTCATAGTTTTTATATGTCTTTACTATATATATAGTACATGTGTCCAAACTTTTGACTGGTACTGTATTTATATAGAAACTGACCCTTTTAAAAGATCCTCTTGATCATATTTAATTGCTTGTGTCATCAAAGCGTGACGGGATGAGACGTGTTTCTATTGGCCGTGTCTATTCTTAAAGAGATAGTTAATCCACAATTGAGTTGTGTCTGGCTGTAATTCATGGTACCGATGTTAGGAAAGCTGCATTGCAGGCCGAAACCTCCTCAAAAACAATTCCAGTGGCCACCGTCCCCTAGGTGGTCCACCGCTGCTAAATGAATATAGGGAAAACACTGACTTCAAACTAAATTCATGTAATTCATGGTACCGATGTTAGCAAAGCTGCATTGCAAGCTGAAAAACACTTAACTAAGTTTGGTAGCTGTTTTTTTTCATACTGCTGGAATAGTCACTGGAATTTTGTTACTCAAAACTGGAACTATTTCCTCATGCAGTCTCACAGCCACATCTGTGTCTGTTGTTTGCTGTAACATAGACAAAGTTGTATTGTATGCTTTGTCTTCTATTGGGCACTCAGACGCAGATTGATTACCAGAGCTGTGAACAAACTCACCGATGGCTTGATGGAACTATCAAGAGCATTGAAATTTTCTGATATTACTGCAAAAGATTATGACATTCTCGCTGGAAAGAAAACATGGACAGATTCTTCTCGAAGTATCGACGCTACAAAACTTAGTTTGAAGTCAGTGTTTTCCCTATATTCATTTAGCAGCGGTGGACCACCTAGGGGACGGTGGCCCACTAGAAGTGTTTTTGAGGAGGTTTCGGCCTGCAATGCAGCTTTGTTAATATCGGTACCATGGATTACATTCATTTTTTGCGACGATGCTTATCATGCTACCTCCTGGCTGTGGCAAAAGTAAACAGATTATTGTGCATGCTGTCACTACTTGCCTACAGACAGCTCTGTGTCACATTTTCACTTAAGATTGAATTGATGTCAATGGGAGACTGAGAACATTTTTGACTTAAGTGGTAGTTACGATTAACCCCCAAAAATGGGGAATAGGGTGTAATTAGAGACTCTCCATCCCTCTCTAAGCCCTGCTGTGGTGCATCTTCCTGGGGTAGCTGTGGGCTTGAACCCAGCAGGAGTCTGGAGGTCTGGTGTGGTGGTGATGCTCCAGGCACAGTAAAGTTGCTACAAGAGGCATCTGGTTCTTGTTAACACACTACCAGGGAGCCGGGCAGGCTCCACAGATCGTATCTGCCCAGGGGACGACACACTACTGGGGACATGATATGAACACCAACACAGCATACACCAACTAGACAGTAGACAGACATATTTTGACATGCGATCTGTGATCTCCATCTTTGATCTCGGATATCTACAGAGTGATCTGTGATCTGAGAGGAAAGCCCCTTATCGTCCTCCTATAATGCCATAGGTCTATTGGAGACAGTGCAGACTCCCTATTAAAACAAGGCTCTTTTGAAAGGGGAACCTCTTTAATAGCACAAGCTTTAAATCCTACACCGCTAACATGCATTACACAAACATGGATATAAAACATACATCTCTCTGTATGTACATTACACTGTTTCCAAGTATGCAACTCTCTCTTCCCCTCCCCTTATGGATGTAATTTACTCCCTCCCTCCCTCCCACATTCTTGGACAGGGAGAAATAGGAAGATTAAATAACAATTCAGGCTGTGGTCCAGCGGTTCGATCCGGAGTGTCTTATGTTCTTAACCCTGTAGAACACCCCAGCATCTGCTCTGTGTGTTAGACATCAGTAACAGTAGAGCTGGACAAACATCAATTTTGCGATAAATTACCTTAACGATAAATAGAACTACCAATGAGTGATTGGTATGGTCAGTGTCACACACACACTCCACGCTGCCAATGGCATTTACTAGTTCGAGTGCAATCTCCTGGTGCTTTTCTTATATTCTCTGGGCAATGAACTAAGTGCAGTCCAGCCCAGAACTCCAGTGTTAGAAGCAGAGAGAGCGGAGCTCCAAACAGCCATACTACAGTATGGTGCTGTTTCCCCTTTTCTCATCCCTCTACCTCTCCTTGTCCCTCTAGTCCCTCTACCTGTCCCATCCGCCCTCTCGCTCTCTCACATACTCTGTACTTCCATTTCTACCCCTACTTGTTCCTTTCCTTGTCACTCTAACTCTACCTGTCCCATCCTCCCCATCACTTACTCTGCATCTCCATTACTCTCCTTCTTCCCCGCTACTTACCTTTCTTTCCCTCACCCCCTCCCTCCCATCCACTTCTCCCTCTCTCTTTCCCTCCCTCCCTCTTTCTTTCCCTTCCACTCCTCTCTAGTGATTAAAGCCCCTGACTGATAGACGGGCCTGGGGAAGTGAGAGGGGACTGGGTTTCTGGACAGACTCCAGGACACACAGTCGTCCGTCCTGGCAGGGACCACTCAGTTCCCTGACCCGGTTCCCACACTGCTGATCCACAAGAGCACAACGTCAGAACGTTCCAGGTGTTACGCCACATCTGCCTGACAGGATGAGGCCTGGCCCGAGTCTCTACCGGAGGTTGCATGGAAGGGGGGAGAGCAAAAGATGGGGAGAGAGGATGTGGGGGGGTTCAAAGCCACTTCCTCCTGCCTGAGCACCAAGTGGGTTACCTCAGTATCACTTAAGGAATGTATACATCTATGACCATATATATATATTCATTTAGCAGGTGCACGTCCTGTCACTCCTTTTATGTGTGTGTGAGGAGTGCCACACCGGCATTGGGTATCGTGTGTTTGTGTACGTGTCTAGCTGTGTGTGTGCATGAATGACACAGAGTTCTGCCTGCCTCTCAATTTCCCCTCAGTGTCGGCATGAACATCATTTCCAGAATTTCTCTCCCTCTCATCAGCCTTTCCTTTTTATCTCTGAATCCTCCAGTCGGTCATCAGGGCATGGGTTAGATCCCAGCAGAGAGGACAGGGGGGAGCAGATAAGAGGTTTAAGGGGGGCTGAGGAGAGCTGAGGAGGAGTGCAGTAAAAGTGTAGCTCTTTATGGTTTCACAGGCCAGCCTGCTCTTCCAGCAGCATGAAAGAGCTTTTATGGGACAGCCAGGTGGCAGGTGCTTTGGATCCATCATCCAGCCCTGCCCATACCTCAACAGCAATATGAGGGTTACACACACATACAAGCGCACAGACCGACCGACGACACACACACAAACACACAGTGAGTGATATACCATGCCGCTGTCTCTTAGCAAGCAGTACAGTGCCTTGCAAAAGTATTCATCTCCATTGGCGTTTTTCCTATTTTGTTGCATTACAACCTGTAATTTAAAATTGATTTTTATTTGGATTTCATGTAATGGACATACACAAAATAGTCCAAATTGGTGAAGTGAAATGAAAAAATTAACTTCTTTCAAAAAGTTCTACAAAATAAATAACGGAAAAATGGTGCGTGTATATGTATTCACCCCCTTTGCTATGAAGCCCCCAAATAAGATCTGGTGCTACCAATTACCTTCAGAAGTCACATAATTAGTTAAATAAAGTCCACCATGTGTGCAATCTAAGTGTCACATGATCTGTCACATGATCTCAGTATATATACACCTGTTCTGAAAGGCCCCAGAGTCTGCAACACCACTAAGCAAGGGGCACCACCAAGCAAGCGGCACCATGAAGACCAAGGAGCTCTCCAAACAGGTCAGGGTTGGGTTATGAAAAAATATCCAAAACTTTGAACATTCCACGGAGCACCATTAAATCCATTATTAAAAAATTGAAAGAATATGGCACCACAACAAACCTGCCAAGAGAGGGCAGCCCACCAAAACTCACGGACCAGGCAAGGAGGGCATTAATCAGAGGCAACAAAGAGACCAAAGATAACCCCGAAGGAGCTGCAAAACTCCACAGCAGAGATTGGAGTATCTGTCCATAGGACCACTTTAAGCCATACACTCCACAGAGCTGGGCTTTATGGAAGAGTGACCAGAAAAAAGCCATTGCTTGAAGAACAAAATAAGCAAACACGTTTGGTGTTCGCCAAAAGGCATGTGGGAGATTCCCCGGGGGCAAACTACCCGCCCTCCAAGACACATACAACACCCGATGTCACAGGAAGGCCAAAAAGATCATCAAGGACATCAACCACCTGAGCCACTGCCTGTTCACCCCGCTATCATCCAGAAGGCGAGGTCAGTACAGGTGCATCAAAGCTGGGACCGAGAGAATGAAAAACAGCTTCTATCTCAAGGCCATCAGACTGTTAAATAGCCATCACTAGCACATTAGAGGCTGCTGCTGCCTATTGAAATCACTGGCCACTTTAAGAAATGGAACACTAGTCACTTTAATAATGTTTACAGTCACCTTAATAATGTTTACATATCTTGCACCACTCATCTCATATGTATATACTGCATTCAATTCTATAATATTCTAGTGTATCTTAGTCCATGCCGCTCTGTCATTGCTTGTCCATATGTGTACACATTCTTAAATCCCATTCCTTACTAGTTTTGTGTGTATTGGGTATATGTTGTGAAATTTAAAGGGAAAACATTTAAATGTCTTGGAATGGCCTAGTCAAAGCCCAGACCTCAATCCAATTGAGAATCTGTGGTATGACTTAAAGATTGCTGTACACCAGCGGAAGTCATTCAACTTGAAGGAGCTGGAGCAGTTTTGCCTTGAAGAATGGGCACAAATCCCAGTGGCTAGATGTGCCAAGCTTATAGAGACATACCCAAGAGACTTGCAGCTGTAATTGCTGCAAAAGGTGGCTCTACAAAGTATTGACTTTGGGGGGGGGGGGGGGGGGGGGGGGGGGGACAGTGATGCACGCTCAAGTTTCCAGTTTTTTTTGTCTTGTTTGTTTCACAAGAAAAAATATTTTGCATCTTCAAAGTGGTAGGCATGTTGTGTAAATCAAATGATACAAACCCCCCAAAAATCCATTTTAATTCCAGGATGTAAGGCAACAAAATAGCAAAAATGCCAAGGGGGGTGAATACTTTCGCAAGCCACTGTAAATCTTTGTACCGTCACAGAAGGGTAGAGGGCAAGGAGGGAGCAGACAGGGGGTCAGTCTGCACCCCTCTCAGCTTTTTTAACTCTTTCTGTTTGGCTAAAACATTCTTATCGCAGTCTTCCCCTCTCTCTGTTCCCCTTTAACCCCAGAGCCCTTCTTCCACCCTCACCAATCAACTAGCCCGCAGACCACTGACAGGGAGTCACAACCCCCAGTATGTAACACATACAACACTGCAATGAGACAGCCCTATAATATAACTGCTCTGTCTGGACCAAGAATACACGCCCCTTACACAAGCCACAATGTCCTAAACGACCACAGTGGATCCCACCGCCACAGAAACACCAGTCACCACATGAAACATAGCATCCCCGCAACCACCCACCCTCCCACCCCCGGACACACACACCACCCTCGCACACTCACCAACCACCCCGTCACTAGGGGGCCTCAGGGGGCAGCAGTCTGCAGCTGTGACAAGAGGAAGTGAGCATTGCAGAGGGAAGCACCCTGCTGCCTGATAGGGCCAGTCTATCTATAACAGAAGGAGATGAAAAAAGCGAGGGAGGGAGAGAGGGACGAGGAGAGCCCCGGATAAGAGAGAGAGGGAGCATCGGGGGGAGGGAGGAAATGTGGAGGCCTTCCAGCAGTGTGATATAGGCTATACTAACAAAGCATGAGTGAGCAGTATCCCACTGCGCTGGAGGAACAATGACATCACACAGAGACTAAGTGTAGCTGTAGCCTACGTACTCAGAAACAGGCCTTGTAGATTCATGCGCAGACCCAAATGGACAGGCTGCAAATTGGACAATGACATTTCTCTATGGTCTTTTGACAATGTGTGCTGTGCTCTCACCATGTTAGAGCAATCCTCATTACCGACGCACAATGAACAGAACACAATCCGGGATGCGATCAAATCGAGTTATTCTGAGAAATCTGACTTCACTTATAAGTAAGTGACTCATAAGTCAGAAGTGAAACAACTTCACGCTCCGTTCCTCTGTGCCTTTCTCCGTGTGTGTGTCCTTCCTTTAATCTGATCTGGGTTGCATCAACGTTCAAAGCAATCAGTCACACAAAAACACACCAGGCTCATTTGAGAACAACACTGTCAGTCTGAGTCAGCTAGTGCTATTCCTGTCTCACTCCCTGGGAAAACACACTAGCAAGGAGGGGAAGATACCCTTGAGTCACTGTGTGTGTGTGTGTGTGTGTGTGTGTGTGTGTGAAAAGCCAGACCTGGAACACAAGGTTAGAAGAAGTCGTCAGTGTGTGTTTGTTTTGGCGCTGGCCTCATATCATTTTACAGACACAATCAAAATACGAGCTATAAAGTTAAGCGGGAAAATAAAAGAGTGGGTCTTTATTGGACAAGGCTCTCATGCTCTGCCAGGGGGATAGAGGTCCTGCCTCATTAAGTCCCTATACACAGCTAGGGTGCGTCCCAAATGGCACCCTATTCCCTATGTAGTGCACTAGTAGTACTCTATAAAATAGGGGATAGAGCGCCATTTGAGACACTGCATCAGCGACACTCTGGCACTGTGAGGGACAATTAGATCTAAGACACACTCTGCTCTTCAGTGGGACTTAGTCAAATGTTTACACAGTGTGGCAGGAGCTAGTGTTAATGGCAGTAGTTGGTGTTTTACATCAGGCTAACAGAGGAGTGTGTTGCGGTGGGTGGGTGGGAAAGGGGGATACCTAGTCAACTGCACAACAGAATGCACTCAACCGAAATGTGTCTTATGCATTTAACCCAACCCCTCAATCAGAGAGGTGGGGGGCTGACTTAAATCGACGTCCACGTCATCAGGGCCCGGTGAGCAGTTGTTGTTGGGGGTTAACTGCCTTGCTCAAGGGCAGAACTACAGATTTTTCCACCTTGCCAGCTCGGGGATTCGAACCAGCGACCTTTCGGTTACTGGCCCAATGCTCTTAACCACTAGGCTACATGCCGCGATGGTTGGTGTGTGAGTGTGTGTGTGTGTGTGTGCGCGCATTTGATAGTCAAACCGATGAGGAACCAGCCCTAACCTGACAAGTGAGACGTACTGGCAGAAAGCCTAAGAGTTAACAACACGTTATTGCTGAATAACATCGGAAACAGGGTTGTACAACTACTGTAGAACTTGGGTTAAGGCGGCTTCAAATTCAGAACAAGAACAGAGTCGTAACCGGAGCCAAGATACAAAAGAGAAACAGTCCGGAATGCTGCTGTGCCGTCACGCCCACCGGACTCAACGACCGGTTCATCTGAGGATGTGTGTGTTTGTGTCTCCGTCTCAGTGTGTGTGTGTGTCTCCATGTGTGTGTGTCTCCGTCTCAGTGTGTATGTGTGTCTCCGTCTGTGTGTGTTTGTGTGTATGCGTGCAAGAGTGTGTTTCTGTAAGGGGTAAGGGACGAATACCTCAATCTGTGGAAATGAGAACACATGTGCAACCGGAAAATAATAATATAAAAAACAATGAATGCTTGAAATGCAGATCTAATATAAACCAAAACCATGCCACACACACACACACAGGTGTCATTAAAGAGACTCACACTGAGGCCCTGACTAGAACAGACAAATGGCTCCAATAACTCTGATCCAAGCTAGCCTGGTCCCAGATCTGTTAGTGCTTTTGCCTTCTCCATTGTCAAAGTCAACAACATGTTTGGAATAATAATTCCATAAGGAGTTGGCAAAAGAGCAGAAACAGACTGGCATCCAGGCTAGATTTTTAATTCGCACTCATTTTAATATCACTGAGTTCAAGGAGTTATGGAGATACTGAGAACAGCTGGAGTTGAATATTGGTTGATAACTGATAAACTACCATTTGTGGAAAGTACCATTGGCACCCCTAGGGCCATTAACTCCAATCTAGAGTTTGGAGTTGCCAGGTCTGTTGGAGTTCCTTACCCAACTCTCGCTCCTTTCCAAACGCAGAGAGCACCTTGGAATAAGGGGTGAGCTAATTGGCTGAAAAATAGCTTGGGTTTAGTAAAAACTGTTCTCATAAGCTGAGAAGGAGTTAAACTTCACACAATCGGTGCTGTGCACACACGCACCTATCCTCAAAGAGAAAAACAGTCTAGGGAGCGTGAGAAAGAGTGTGAGCCACTTCCTCTACGGCCAGGCTTCTAGACGATCGCAATGAGATCATGAATATTAAATAATGCCTGGTCTGCACAGCGCCCATCTGTGATGTGTGATCTGTGATCATCACACAGCCCTGGTGCTTTGATCAGGAGGCTCTCTTTGATCCCAGAGGAAAGAACAGAGAAACAGGAAGAACAGGGCCCTCTGTATCATACACACCATCCCTTCCTCTACCCACAAAGAGAGAAGGGAGGGATGGACAGAGGAGGAGAAAGACTGACAGGAAGTTGAGAAAGCATGTGAGACAGACGGCGAGAGAGGCTGGGTAAGACAGAGTGAGAGAGGGAGGGAAGGAGAGAAAGACATGAGAGAGAGAGAGGCAAACAGGGTACGACAGAGAGAAACATAAGACCGAGAGAGAGAAAGGGAACAATTAGATAGAAAGACATTTGAGAGAGAGAGCGAGACACACAGACAGGCAGGCCAAACAGGGATGGAGAAATACTGTAGCTCCTCTCTATGTGTGTTTGAAGGATCCACAGGAAAGAGGAGGACCAGCACATGGAGGTAACCCAGAAGTAATGAAGAATTTGGGAACTAAACTAAACCTCCATGGGTCGTATTCATTAGGCACCAAACAGAACAAAACGGCCTGAAACAGGGATGGGCTACATGGACTCGTCCAATAAGAACCACTAGTTCACATGTTCCATTGCTAAATGTTTTCCGTGATGAAGCTTGGGGGTAAAATATGAGGGGAGAGTTACTGTAGGGACTTACCTGTCCATCCTGCCCAACATGCACCTGGTGGATCTGAAGATTCCCCTGAGAGAGAGAGCGCGAGAGAGAGCGAGAGAGAGAGCGAGAGCGAGCGAGAGCGAGAGAGAGAGAGAGCGAGAGAGAGAGAGAGAATTCAGACAGCATCACAGTCACTTGACATTGGCAACACCACATGAAAAACAAGCCCAAATAAGCGCCATTTATTCCCTCTGTGCTATTTTCCTTCCTAATTGTATTTCATTCATATCCAATGCTGTCTGAGCTGCCATATGGACAGGCAGCATGGTAATCTCTCCCAAATAGCCTAATTTCCTTCTCCAACATGATGAAACCAATCGCTTTGATGAGGAGGGCCCCATTCCTAATGAAAACACACACTGTGAGTGGCAGTTAGGAGAAGTGGGATTTTGTTGCTAAGCTTTGAACTCCCAAAACAAACAAGATCATCCAGTGGGAAGGAGACAAAAAAAATACTTTTCTGGCATCCAATCACAAAGAGCAGAAAGGCTTTTCAAGCTTTTCTTCCTCCGTCTCTCTCGCTCTCTCCTTCTCCCTGCTTGTATTGGTTAAGAACCTCTGTAGAATACCTGGTCAGTGTGTCAGCCCTATTTGCATGAGTGCAGGTGTTTATTTATTTGTTTGTGAGTGAGGTTTAGGCATGTTTTTGTGCTTGAGTGAGTATTCAAGTGTATGTGTGTTTGTGCGTGCGTGTGTATATTCAAGTTTGTGTGTATAAATGAACGCTCATATATACACACAAACTTGAATATACACAAACGTGTTTGTCTACTCAAGTGTGTGTGCACGCGCAGTGGCGCCTTGAAATAAATATCTCTCCCCCCACATCTTATTAAACAAAATGTTTAACTATGATGCTGAGGCAGAGAATTCTTTCTCAGACACTTGGTGTGGTTTTGTGAAAGATTCTTATAGAGCCAATCCATTGTGTGCATGCAAGGCTGTCTGGTGAGAGACACGGGCCATCTGGGTATTATGTGGAAACAAATAGTATAATAACCCATGCATAAGCACGCAGTAGATCTAAACAAGCACTCTTAACATCTGCTTGTGGTGAACTCCTGCCTAATGACTTTAATACTTGCTACCATTACTGACTATTACCATGCACTTTCGATTTACTGACTGGGATACCCGGATAGACAGACAGACAAACAGATGGACGGACAGACAAACAGACAGAAACACTTACCTCACTGTCCTGTGTGATCTGCACCTCTTCCCCCTGTGGCACCTGGGCAATGTGGAGATGTCCCTGAGGGATCTGATAATGGCGAGAGAGAACAAGATGAAGGAAGGAAGGAAGGAAGTGAAGGAAGGAGGAAGGAAGAAGGAAGGGAAAGGAACGGAAGGAAGGAAGGCAAGAGAAGGAAGGAACCGGAAGGCACGGACAGGAAGAAGGAAGGAAGTGAAGGATACTGCCGAAGGAAGAAGGAAGGATAGGAACGGAAGGAAGGCCTTCCTGACTTCCTTCCCTTCATGCCTACAGACGAAAAAAGACCTGCCGGGCCTTCCTGCCTATACAGAAAGAAAACCTTCCTTCCTTCCTTCCCCTTCCTCCTCCTCCTCCCCCCTCCTCCCTCCCTCCCCCCGCCTCCCCCCCCCTCCCGCCCCGCCCGCCCTCCCTCCCTCCCGAAAGCCCTCCATCCGCCCTCCTCCCCCCGACTCACCTCCTCCCTCCCCGCCCCTCCCCCTCTCTTGTGTATGTACTATAATGTGCACTACTCTTCTGGCACCGTTAACACATACAGTTAGTGAGTCCACTCTCACCCCTCCACCATCAGCCACTAGTCTGAGCCCCGCTGCAGTCGCTGCGTGACAGATCATATGCTTTACATTTCCTAAAGGCTTGAAAGCACTCGTACCATTAGGCTCGGATGCACCCGCTAATACTCTAGAACAGTGTTTACCAACTCCAGTCCGACCTTGAGTACCCCCAACAGCACACATTTTTGTTGTAGCCCTGTACAAGCACACCAGATTCAACTTGTCAACTAATCATCAAGCCCTTGATTAGTTGAATCAGTTGAGTTTGTCAGAGGTAACAACAAAAATGTGTGCTATTGGGGGTACTCGAGGACTGGAGTCCGATGCCATTTTAAATCTTTCAAAAATGTACTTTGAACGTTTGCTCTAGCCTGCCTGGAGTGCCAGATAGTCCTAAAACTTAAAAGCCCATCTATTACATTTGTCCATTAAGCCAGGCAAGCTCAATTATAAACAGATTGAGTATTTAAATTAGTTAAAATAGTATTTGAACCCAGGTCTACTCACTAATACCACTTCCTCTCCTCCCTCTTCCTCTTTAATAACACGAGGGACTGATCAGCTTTGAATAAAAGCAGAGTAGAAGTTTACCAGGAAGATCAATCGAAAAGTCTGACAATGGTGTAATGTTGCATTTTCATTGGATTTTGACTCACAACTAAACTGGACTTTTCATTTGAAACACAAATAATGATTGTTTACTTTCTTTTTTTTTTGGTCGGCAAGGGTGGAATTCCAGCATTAGTCTGTTCTTAGCCTGTCTTTTTATGCATTACTACACTCGTCCATTTTTGAGAAACCGGTTCCAGAAAGCGTTTTAGTGTGCACGGGGCACGGACCTGACAGAGAATATAATATTAGCAGTATTTCCAGTAATGCTCTCTGCCTCTATACCACGTATAAACATTTACGACAGAGTCAACCTGCTAGCCTGGTCCCAGATCTGTTTGTGCTCTTGCCAACTATTTGGCTGTCATTGTCAAGCCAAACAGTCTGACTGGCCTCACAGCAATCTTCAAATAGCTTATAAACATAATTTTCCCCCAATTTGGCATGACAATAAGTAACACAGAGTTGGCATGATAGCACAAGCTGCTGCTTCACTCAATAACACATTCCAGCCCGGTGGAAGAGGTGAGATCTCGGAGTAGTACAGTACTTGCTCCTTAGTTGGGCTTCAACACATTTGAATGGCATACATAAGATTTACTTGTAGGTCCTTTACCTCATTAACACTGAAAGGTCAAAGCACATTTCTTCTTTCTAAGTAATAGTGTGGACATTGGAATAGTGCCACAGTGTGACTCCATGAAGATGCACAGGGAACAGGAAGTGATCAGACACAGGTTACTTCCTGTTGGCCCACCCACCCATAGTGATGTAGTGGGCCTGAGTGTGACCTCTGACCCCTACAGCTGTATAAGGTTGTCCAATCAAATCCCTGAGCATGATGGAACTCTGCTACATTGACACACTGTCTTCCTGTGGAGCGGTGGACAGTCTCAGTGTAGTAGGGTGAGGTGATCTACCCACACAACATAGATAAGAGACTCACTCTGGGACTCTCAGATGACTAAGGAACTGGAGGAGGGTTGTGTGTGTGTGTGTTTGTGTGGAGAGAAGGAGAGTGTGATAGAACCAGAACAAGACAGAGAGAATCGAGACAGAAGGCAGAGAGATAGGTAGTGCAAAAGAGGAGAGGGGAAAAGAGTGACAGATAGAAATGAAAGCGGGATCACGAGAGGAGAAAGAGAGAAAAAGAAGAGAGCTACGAGGCCCAAGAAAGAAATAGGTCCGGTTAGAGATTGAGAGGAAAGCGAAAGAGGATGAGAGAGATTATCAGAGAAATTGGGTAGTAGGGCAGGAAGGAGAGAGAGAGAGCGCGATGGAAGGAGAGAGGAGACGCAGACAGAGGGGGGAGACAGTGACACTCACCACTTGCACCTGTCCATCCTCTCCTATGCGGTGGATCTGGACCTGCTGGACAGCCTGGTTGGCCAGGGTGTAGTGTAGAGTCTGTTGGGCTGCCTCCACCACAGCGCCACCCTCTGGGCATGAGCACAGGGCAGATGAGTTAACAACAGTAAGGTGTGGTAGAAAATATACTCTGGATAGAAGTTACCCAGCCCCATTCACCTCTGAAGGAACACTTGGCATAGGCCAGGTTTCCCGATAGCGAGGGAACTTAGGCTTACAAGTGTTTTAACGATGTACAGTGAGGGAAAAAAGTATTTGATCCCCTGCTGTTTTTGTACGTTTGCCCACTGACAAAGACATGATCAGTCTATAATTTTAATGGTAGGTTTATTTGAACAGTGAGAGACAGAATAACAACAACAAAATCCAGAAAAACGCATGTCAAAAATGTTATAAATTGATTAGCATTTTAATGAGGGAAATAAGTATTTGACCCCTCTGCAAAACATGACTTAGTACTTGGTGGCAAAACCCTTGTTGGCAATCACAGAGGTCAGACGTTTCTTGTAGTTGGCCACCAGGTTTGCACACATCTCAGGAGAGATTTTGTCCCACTCCTCTTTGCAGATCTTCTCCAAGTCATTAAGGTTTCGAGGCTGACGTTTGGCAACTCGAACCTTCAGCTCCCTCCACAGATTTTCTATGGGATTAAGGTCTGGAGACTGGCTAGACCACTCCAGGACCTTAATGTGCCTCTTCTTGAGCCACTCCTTTGTTGCCTTGGCCGTGTGTTTTGGGTCATTGTCATGCTGGAATACCCATCTACGACCCATTTTCAATGCCCTGGCTGAGGGAAGGAGGTTCTCACCCAAGATTTGACGGTACATGGCGCCGTCCATCGTCCCTTTGATGCAGTGAAGTTGTCCTGTCCCCTTAGCAGAAAAACACCCCCAAAGCATAATGTTTCCACCTCCATGCTTGACGGTGGGGATGGTGTTCTTGGAGTCATAGGCAGCATTCCTCCTCCTCCAAACACGGCGAGTTGAGTTGATGCCAAAGAGCTCGATTTTGGTCTCATCTGACAACAACACTTTCACCCAGTTCTCCTCTGAATCATTCAGATGTTCATTGGCAAACTTCAGACGAGCCTGTATATGTGCTTTCTTGAGCAGGGGGACCTTGCGGGCGCTGCAGGATTTCAGTCCTTCACTGCGTAGTGTGTTACCAATTGTTTTCTTGGTGACTATGGTCCCAGCTGCCTTGAGATCATTGACAAGATCCTCCTGTGTAGTTCTGAGCTGATTCCTCACCGTTCTCATGATCATTGCAACTCCACGAGGTGAGATCTTGCATGGAGCTCCAGGCCGAGGGAGATTGACAGTTATTTTGTGTTTCTTCCATTTGCGAATAATCGCACCAACTGTTGTCACCTTCTCACCAAGCTGCTTGGCGATGGTCTTGTAGCCCATTCCAGCCTTGTGTAGGTCTACAATCTTGTCCCTGACATCCTTGGAGAGCTCTTTGGTCTTGGCCATGGTGGAGAGTTTGGAATCTGATTGATTGATTGCTTCTGTGGACAGGTGTCTTTTATACAGGTAACAAACTGAGATTATGAGCACTCCCTTTAAGAGTGTGCTCCTAACCTCAGCTCGTTACCTGTATAAAAGACACCTGGGAGCCAGAAATCTTTCTGATTGAGAGGGGGTCAAATACTTATTTCCCTCATTAAAATGCAAATCAATTTATAACATTTTTGACATGCGTTTTTCTGGATTTTTCTGTTGTTATTCTGTCTCTCACTGTTCAAATAAACCTACCATTAAAATTATAGACTGATCATTTCTTTGTCAGTGGGCAAACGTACAAAATCAGCAGGGGATCAAATACTTTTTTCCCTCACTGTATCTTTCCTGCAATGGCCGAAGATGTAACATGTGTTTCCCAAAACACCACGCAGAAAGAACGTTCGCTAAGTGCCTCATTGAGGCATGTGTCGATAATGACAGGTTCGAAAGAAAGGCAGCGCTGCTCTCGGATCAGCTTTCTCCATTAAAATCTTACCGTAACATTATAATTATTCCACAATACTGATGACGGATCACGTCCTAGAGAGATATTATCACCTATGGATGCAAATATTGAGGCAACTTATTCTAATGCTTACCCAATAATATTGCACTAAATCAAGATTTGGCACACCTGTTAGGCTACACATCATCAAATATATTGAGGCAAAAAAATACAGACAGTAGCCAAATAGCCAAATAAAACTAAATTGAATGGACATGAAATTGATTTTAATATCATTGAAATATATAGGCCTATGTAACCTATACTTTTGGTAGGCTATTTATCTTTTATTGCAGTCATCTCGGTTTTCATTTCAAGCATCTTTTTATCCTTCGCTTGTTTGTAACAACTGCAAAGACATTGGTAACTTTGTATTTGTAGTCAACTTCGTTGTGAAGTTATCGGCGGTCACAGAGAGACAGAAACATCTTGATTTATGTTCAGTAGAGATATTCTGGGGGAAATGCATCTAAACATGCACTTAACTGCTCTACGAGTGGTCTGAGGCAGTCGGTAAATAACGAGCGTTTTTTTTGTTTTTGGAAACGATACCCCTACGAAGGTTCTAATGATGAACTTTAGCCTTAAGAGGCTTTTGGAAAACTGGGCCCATCTGCTGGATGATGCCGTGTGTTTATACTGTATCAAACATGTCTAAATAACACAAGGACTCTCAAGCTAGCAATTCAAAATACACACATGACCCTGCAGCCAAACACAAACCCCCAGCCTCAGTCTAAACACCCACCACTATCACACCCACAGCCCACAGCCCATAACGTCCCCCATCGGCCCACCACAGCTTCACCTATTATCTCAGTGTGTGTGTGTGTGTGTTTACACTGGTGCATGCGTGTGTGCCTGCTCGCTATGAGAATTGTTGCTAGATTGATGTAGGCCTACATTGAGGAAATCCCACCACAATGAGAAGTAACAAAGTAGGCCTAAAGAATTCACTCAAAATAATAATATCATGATATACAAAACATATGTAGCACAGATATCTGCTTGGTACAGCTCATATCATAGACGTGTTGTGTTTACTGCCAGCGAGTTCTTTCTCCTGTCCTTCAGCATGACCATGGCTATGTCCCAAATGGCACCCTTTACCTTATGTACAGGTAACTGACAAAATAAAGGAAACACTTGAGTAAATGAGGGATAAAAAGTATATTGAAAGCAGGTGCTTCCACACAGGTGAAGTTCCTGAGTTAATTAAGCAATTAACATCTCATCATGCTTAGGGTCATATATAAAAATGCTGGGCAGGTCAGTATTTGTGGCCATTATTTTGGCTACCATGACTTTGCCCCCATCCACAGGGCACGAGTGTTCACTGAATTGTTTAATGAGCATGAGAACGATGTAAACCATATGCCATGGCGGTCTCAGTCACCAGATCTCAACCCAATTGAACACTTATGGGAGATTCTGGAGCGGCGCTTGAGACAGCGTTTTCCACCACCATCAACAAAACACCAAATAATGGCATTTCTTGTGGAACAATGGTGTCAGATCCCTCCAATAGAGTTCCAGACACTAGTAGAATCTATGCCCAGGTGCATTGAAGCGGTTCTGAGTCGTGGCGGCCCAACACCCTATTTAGACACTTTATGTTGGAGTTTCCTTTATGTTGGCAGTTACCTATAGCACACTACATTTGACCAGAGAGAGCCCTATGGGCCCTGGTCAAAAGTAGTGCACTATATAGGGATTAGGGTGCCATTTGAGACACAGTCCAAGTACTGCAGTATGTAAATTATCCCCAGCCCAGTTATTGACAGTGAGGCGAGAGCCAGGTGGCTCGTGGAGACTGTACTTTGTGTTAGCCCTCTCTCCCCGTTCATTAATAAATAACTGTTTAAAAACAGACCCAGTCACCTCTTTCCAGCCCATTAGTTTAATGTTGAAGCAGTTTTACTAAGGGGAGTGCGAGAGAACTTTCTCTGGGGTGTGTGTGCTCTGGTAGATGTGTGTGTGTGTTTATTTTACAGTGCTGTGTGTGCTGTTTGAGTGTGTGTGTGTTTAGTTTACAGTGCTGTGTGTGCTCTGGTGGGGTGTGTGTGGCCAGGGAGGAGAGCGGGCTGTGACTGTATAATGTACACACAGTGGGCTCACAGGATATTTGGGTTTCCCCTGCTGTCCCACTCTCTCCGGTCAGGGGTGAGAGGTGATGGATCTCAGGGAGGGGAGGACAGGAGGCGTTGTTGTGTTGTGGAGATTATAACCATCTGCTACACTCTGCATCTGCACTACTCGCTGGGTTCCTTACATACGCATAAGTGAAAAGCTATGTGTGTGTCTGTGTGTGCATGTGTGTCTGCGTGTGTGTGTGCTTGCTATTTCCAGGAATTACCTGAGCTTCCCGGTGCGTTGGTGCTACGTCTGGAGAAGCTCTTGACCGCCAGACTCTGGCCGCGCTGCTTGCGTCTCCACGCAGTGCGACACTTGGAGTCAATGCTCTGCTTGATACGGTACCAGTCCGACTCAGTGATGCCAAACTTATAGAACAGGTGACCTGAGGGAAACAACGACAGAGGGCACATCAGTTCAGGGTCATGTAATTTAACAATCTTAAGATAACCATTGTAATCTTAAACTAAAGCTAACTCACCATGACAAGGTAGTATAAGTCACATGCATTGCTTAGGATGGACAGCAGTTCATGCCAAGTCTGTGTGTGTAGTTTGTACAGTGCAACCTTGTCCCACTATCAATGAAACTCTGCCTGAGGTATCAAAATGTCAGAACCACTGAAAACTCTAGATAGATTCTAAATCTGGTGGTCAAGGTACAAGTGGTCAGGTACTCTGATAGTACCACATATCATCCTAATCCCTGACACATGCCCCTATACAATGTAAGTGTGTATATAGTATGTGAGAGAGTGCGGTTACGTTAGCGGGGTGTTAATAGCTGGTTTGAGGGCGTGACAGAGTTGATAACTTCTTTCTACCTCGATTAACCCCTGTAAGTCTAAGACGTTGGGGGGAGGTATGTAATTGTTTTAAGATGGTCATACTATGGATCATTCAGCTATTTGATTTAGAATTTTAGGACCCCTTTAGGTATCAAATAATTTTTTTAAATGATTTGCTAAAATATTGAATTTGACCTTTGCTACTATAGCGCAGAGAAACAGATTGAATAACACACATTCATAAATGGCAAAAAAGACAGCTTCTACCAGCCCACAGCGAAGTTGATAGTCGTCTCTACTGTGTGAGATTTCAAAACTTTAAAAAACATGACTAGAGAGAGACTGTCAATGAATACAGCAAAGAGCTAATGTTTTTATGAGTGAGTTCATGTTTAAGATTTTATTCAGCACTGTCAACACTTATAAGCCATAAAAACGCCCTCTCCTCTGCAGTCTCCCCTCCCTCCTTTTAGCTGTCTCCCCTCCACCGTCTCCCCTCCCTCCCCTCTGCTGTCTCCCATCTGCTGTCTCCCCTCCCCTTCCTCCCTTCCGCTGTCCCCTCTCCCCTCCCGCTGTCTTCCCTCCGCCGTCTCCCCTCCCTCCCCTCTCCCATCTGCTTTCTCCCCTCCCTTCCGCTCCCCCCCCCCCCCCCTCTGTCTGCCCTCCCTTCCCCTGTCTCCCCTCCCTCCCTCCGCTGTCTCACTCCCTGGTCAACGGAAGGGAATTTTATGGTCAGTTAGATGGTTTTCTGTCAGTTGGTTAACCCTTGGAGTCAATGTCCACGCCACAGCGGAAATCTAATTAGCATAATAATAATAATAAAACACATAATAAATACATCTGTTAGTTTAAGCTAGATAACTTGTTTTTTTATTGGATGCGTCTCAATCCACCACCTCCACCGATGTCGCACTTCCGCATCTGCGGTGAAAGGTGACAGAGCTAGAGTGGTGTTTGTCAGACCATGAGACATCCCATAAATCAGTCTTCTCAAAAGAATTGTCTGTAGCGTCTGAACGGTTTGGCCTACAAAACGATTATGACCCCTCTATGGAAAGAAATACTCTCACGAACACGATGGTGTTCTCCGTTTTCCTCTTAGACCCCCACAAGCATCTTGGGACTCGTCTGAAGGTACAGCCGACCTGCCAACTTCTGTCTGTTGAGTCTGAACACTTTGGGCAACACACTAATATGACCCCTCTGTGGAAAGGTGAGACTCTCACGAACACGTTTAGCTCTAGGACGCCCACAGGCCTCACAAGACTCGTCTGAAGGTCCCCCGGTACCAGTTGAAAAATATCATGGAAGTATATGGAGACTGTTTAGTGCCAAAAATAAGGGGTTACAGAGCATTCGTAAAGTATTCAGACCCCTTGACTTTTTCCACATTTTGTTACGTTATAGCCTTATTCTAAAATGGATGAAATCGTTTTTTACCTCTTCAATCTACACAACCCCATAAAGAAAATGCAAAAACAGGCTTTTATATATTTTTGCAAATGTATAAAAACATTTAAACGGAAATATCACATTTACATAAGTATTCAGACCCTTTACTCAGTACTTTGTTGAAGCACCTTTGGCAGCGATTACAGCCTGGAGTCTTCTTGGGTATGACGCTACAAGCATGGCACACCTGTATTTGGGAAGTTTCTCCCATTCTTCTCTGCAAATCCTCTCAAGCTCTGTCAGGTTGGATGGGGAGCGTCGCTGCACAGCTATTTTCAAGTCTCTAGAGATGTTCGATTGGGTTCAAGTCCAGGCTCTGGCTGGGCCACTCAAGGACATTCAGAGACTTGTCCCGAAGCCACTGCTGCGTTGTCTTGGCTGTATGCTTAGGGTCGTTGTCCTGTTGGAAGGTGACCCTTCGCCCCAGTCTGAGGTCCTGAGTGCTCTGGCATAGGTTTTCATCACGGATCTCTCTGCACTTTGCTCCGTTAATCTTTGCCTCAATCCTGACTAGTCTCCCAGTTCCTGCCACTGAAAAACATCCCCACAGCATAATGGTGCCACCAACCTGCTTCACCGTAGGGATGGTGCAAGGTTTCCTCCAGACATGACGCTTGGCATTCAGGCCAAAGAGTTCAATCTTGGTTTCATCAGACCAGAGAATCTTGTTTCTCATGGTCTGAGAGTCCTTTAAGTGCCTTTTGGCAAACTACAAGCGGGCTGTCATATGCCTTTTACTGAGAAGAGGCTTCCGTCTTGCCACTCTACCATAAAGGCCTGATTGGTGGAGTGCTGCAGAGATGGTTGTCCTTCTGGAAGGTTATCCCTTCTCCACAGAGGAACTCTGGAGCTCTGTCAGAGTGACCATCAGGTTCTTGGTCACCTCCCTGACCAAGGCCCTTCTTCCCCGATTGCTCAGTTTGGCCGGGCGGCCAGCTCCATGAAGTCTTGTTGGTTCCAAACTTCTTCCATTTAAGAATGATGGAGGCCACTGTGTTCTTGGGGACATTTTTTGGTACCCTTCCCCAGATCTGTGCCTCAACACAATCATGTCTCGGAGCTCTAAGGACAATTCCTTCGACATCATGGTTTGGTTTTTGCTCTGACATGCACAGTCAACTGTGGGACCTTATATAGACAGGTGTGTGCCTTTCCAAATCATGTCCAATCAATTCAATTTACCACAGGTGGACTCCAATCAAGGTAGAAACATCTCAAGGATGATCAATGGAAACAGGATGCACCTGAGCTCAACTTCGAGTCTCATAGCAAAGGGTCTGAATACTTATGTAAATAAGGATTACATTTGCAAAAAATTCTAAAAACCTGTTTTCGCTTTGTCATTATGGGGTATTGTGTGTAGATTGATGAGGAAAAACATTACTTATCAATTTTAGAATAAGGCTGTAACGTAACAAAATGTGGAAAAGGGAAGGGGTCTGAATACTTTCCGAATGCACTGTAAATACATGTAAAACAAAATGTAGTGAACCTGTTATTAAATGCGTTTGTATGGGCTAATAGCAGTAAGGCCAAAAATATGTTTTTTAGCAAATATATATATATATATATATATATATATATATATATATATTTATACTTCAGGGGGTCTTAAAACTAAAATAGCTAAATTACCCTAAATGACCCCCTCCCCCCCCGCTTAGTCAGGACAGGGTTAAACAGCAGTGTGAGTAATGGAGTGAGTGTGTAGGTGTGCGTGACTCACAGCGTATGCCGTAGATCATGAGTGGGTCGAGCTGCTTCTTGCCGTGCTTGCCCTGGCCCGACAGGTTGGAGATGGCCTGCACCTCGCGGTGGAATAGGTAGTCCAACAGTGTCAGCGCCATCTTCTCCGCCGTGCGGCAGTTGGTGCTGATGTGGAGCATGTCGCCAGGCGACACTGGGCAGCGCACGCGCATCTCTGCATTGTTCTCGTCGCCAAGCCACGTACCTGCTGGGTAGTCATCTATAAAGAGAGAGGGGGGCAAGAGTATAGTGGTAATGATATGACCCCTAAAGCTGCTCCCAGTCTGTTGTATGTGTGGGTCTGTGTCTATACTAAATATATACAGTACCAGTCAAAAGTTTGGACACACCTACTCATTCCAGGGTTTTTCTTTATCTTTACAATTTTCTACATTGTAGAATAATAGTGAAGACATCAAAACTATGAAATAACACATATGGAATCATGTAGTAACCAAAAAAAAGTGTTAAACAAATCAAAATATATTTTATATTTGAGATTCTTCAAAGTAGCCACCCTTTGCCTAGATGACAGCTTTGCACACTCTTGGCATTCTCTCAAACAGCTTCACCTGGAATGCTTTTCAACAGTCTTGAAGAAATTCCCACATATGCTGAGCACTTGTTGGCTGCTTTTCCTTCACTCTGCGGTCCAACTCATCCCAAACCATCTCAATTGGGTTGAGGTTGGGTGATTGTGGAGGCCAGATCATCTGACGCAGCACTCCATCACTCTCCTTCTTGGTCAAATAGCCCTTACACAGCCTGGAGGTGTGTTGGGTCATTGTCCTGTTGAAAAACAAATGATAGTCCCACTAAGCCCAAATCTCAAATTTGGACTCATCAGACCAAAGGACAGATTTCCACCGGTCTAATGTCCATTGCTCGTGTTTCTTGGCCCAAGCAAGTCTCTTCTTCTTATTGGTGTCCTTTAGTATTGGTTTCTTTGCAGCAATTCGACCATGGAGGCCTGATTCATGCAGTCTCCTCTGACCTTGTCACAACACAACTGATTGGCTCAAACGCATTAAGAAGGAAAGAAATGACACAAATTAACTTTTAACAAGGCACAACTGTTAACTGAAATGCATTCCAGGTGACTACCTCATGAAGCTGGTTGAGAGAATGCCAAGAGTGTGCAAAGCTGTCATCAAGGCAAAGGGTGGCTACTTTGAAGAATCTCAAATATAAAATATATTTTGATTTGTTTAACACTTTGTTGGTTACTACATGATTCCATATGTGTTATTTCATAGTTTTGATGTCTTCACTATTATTCTACAATGTAGAAAATAGTAAAAATAAAGAAAAACCCTGGAATGAGTAGGTGTGTCCAAACTTTTGACTGGTACTGTATATCAAATCAAATCAAATTTTATTGGTCACATGCGCCAAATACAACAAGTGCAGACATTACAGTGAAATGCTTACTTACAGCCCTTAACCAACAGTGCATTTATTTTAAACAAAAAAAAGTAAAAATAAAACAACAACAAAAAAAAGTGTTGAGAAAAAAAGAGCAGAAGTAAAATAAAGTGACAGTAGGGAGGCTATATATACAGGGGGGTACCGTTGCAGAGTCAATGTGCGGGGGCACCGGCTAGTTGAGGTAGTTGAGGTAATATGTACATGCGGGTAGAGGATATGTAGGGATATGTGTAGGGATATGTGTGTGTGTGTGTGTGTGTCAGGGAGAGCAGCTGTAATATATCTAACACCTGTTCATGTGTGAGGGTTTTTGGGCTCAATGTTTTATGAATATTTATTCTTGTAGTCTTCGTATATACACAGATCCCACATGCATGTGCATGCACTGAAATACTTCACAGATAGGCCTACACCTTCCTAATCTCTGCTTGCGCTTGAGCACAACCTTGTGGCGACCATCAGGACTACACCGGCATACAGTTCTGGAGGTTATTATGAGTGTTGTTGTGTGACATTCTCTAACATTAGAATGTCATCTCCACGGAGCATTACAGAGTTCAACAAGGAACCGATCAGTGGAACATCAGACTTCCTATATATTATATCTATATAAAGTTTAGTAACCTGAGAGCTCACTTTGTCTATGGAGAGGTGTGGAGAGGCAGACAGCTGACAGTGACATTGATATAGAGAGTAAAATGCAGGGAGGTCGAAGGATCGCACACACACACACACACACACACACACACACACGTTTCCTTTTGGAGAAAAACATGGTGCCCTCCGGCTAATGCTGACTAAAACACATTGTCATGTAAACTTGCAGCTGCAAATAAATGAATGTATGCCAAAGGAACGTCTTTGAAGCTAACCAAGGAACCACTCAAAACAGCCCAAACAACATAAACAACAGCATGCGCTGTAGTCAGAAACTTTGCTCAATCATAAAAACCTTTCCTCTCCTCAGGCTTGTCCGTGACTACTGGGAAAGCCGCTGAGTCCCGAGACATCATCCTAGAAGACTTCAAAACAAGTCCGAGTGAGACAATAGCTACCACAGATGCCTCACCACAGATGTCTACGCTGGTAATGATAGTGAAACATCACTACACATCAACACAGCACCATTATACACCAAGACAGGTGGTAGTATTTGGCAATTAAGGCAGAAGTAGCCAGGCAACATATCACATTCACAAATCAAAGTCAAGCTGCCTTTGAGTTCAAATTTGTTTGATGGTATCCGTCTCACTGATAAGACTCCAGCCGGATTCACAACGATGAACAGTTCATCAAGTGACTTGTTCTTTACACACTTTAAGCCACGTTTGGGACACGCGTGTGTGTTTCAGTATGTGTTTGTGTGTGCGTGTTTCTTGGTTTCTGTGTATGTGTGCACGTGTTCTGACAGGGCCGTACCCTCTGAGTTGAGGGTGATGAGGGTGACGTTCTGGGTGCTCTGGGCGTTGTTGGTCTGGCCGCTGTTGGACACCGAGTCACTGGCCTCTGAGCCGCTCTCCTGGTCCTCCTGGCTGTCCTCCGGCACTGGCACCTTCACCAGGAACGTGTTCTGCCTCCGCCCGCCCACCGTGCTGACGGAACACACACACGCATAGAAACACACACAGGCTGAGTTAGAACCACGTACCAACACAGGGACCTGTGAGCCGAGCTGATATGTGTTCCATTGTGTTCTGTGTGAGCCACTAAACTCTGCAGGGTTCAGAGAACCATTGTATTATGAGGGTTCTGTGTAGATTAAACATTAGTGGGGATCACAGTTTCGTGCACAACAGTGTTTGTTCTATACTCAATTCTACATTCTGCATGATGACAGAAGAAAACAGGTGTCAATCACTCACTTGCTAAGGAGGTTCTCCAGGGAATCTGCCCCTCGAGCTACTGGCTCCTCCTGGCCCTTTGGTCGGTCTTGGCTCACTATCACATTGGTCTGTGGAACAACACTGCAGGGGCAGACGGGGAATTCTTCATTGTCAAATACCTCAACAGGCTCCAGTGTCAAATTGTCTTCATGGGAATAGGCGCATTCTACTCTAGCACTCACTTGTAAGAGAATGAGTACTCCCCCACAACTCCATAACCCTCATAAAGCACAAGTCAACCATTGTCATTGTCCCCCAGTGTACCACCCTCAACTCACCCTGACCAGTCCCAGCGTTTTATCCCACTACAATCCCCAGTCCTAACCAGGGTCGTATTCATTAGGCACCAAGCGGAAGAAAACGACAGGGAAAGACTACCTCAACTTGTCCAAATTGTCAGTTGCAAAATGGCCTGCTACGGTGTGCCCTAATTAATATAGGCCCAGGTCCAAACCTCAACTCACCAGCGCACTTTATTCCAGGTCTGGGTGGCCCCCAGAGGGGAACCGGCCACCATGGGGACCTGGATGGGCGCCTGGTTCTTGTTGACGACGGCATCCAGCTTCCTCTCCAGGGCCCGGCACGTCGCCTCCACCACCTGCAGCTTGGCCTCCATGTTGTCCAGACGCTGGCAGATCGTCTGGCTGATGGAGTACAACAAGGTCTGGAGAGAGGAAGGGGGAAAGAGGCAGAGGGAGAGAAAGTTCATTGCGTGTGCGTAAGAAAAGGTGGGTGCTACATGTTACACATTGGTGGTTGATGAAGTGAGCTCCCCTCTTAAAAAGCAGAGAGCTTAGAGACCTTGTAAAAATCACTACAGTAGGCCTTTATAAATGCAATGTATGATATATTTTCATAGGACAAACAAGCGGACATGCTCACATGACTGATTCAGTTTGGAAGTACATACTGAATCCAATCTCTCACAGCAACATACCTTTAGAGATGCATCCTGGGAGCCGTTGTCCACCCTTGGCCTTTTCCTGTCAGGCTTGTCATCACAATCTTCATGATTGTCCAACACATCTAAAACAAATCCCAAATGCAGTCACGCACAGTAAAACATACACACAATCATGAAAAAACTACCAGATGCACTGTTGCTGCTTATAAGTAGCTCTTCCAAATCAAGCGATTTAACCAAATGTACCCAAATGGTCCATAACTACCATCAAGATAAAACAACTTAAGCCAGAAGTAAAGCTGAACCATTAGCCAATGGATAGTCAGTCAGTGGTGACCCTTCCTTTACAATACAGGCAAATGGTTGTAAAGAGACAACTTCGGAGGGATGAGCATGACATTTATCTTGAGCCAGCAATTTCCCCCTAATGGTTTTCCTGGCCAGGTCACATGGCCCTAGTTATGGTGATTGGACAGAGCTTTGTGGTCTGTAATATAGATCTTACCAGTCTGGTCACCCTGGCCCAAGTCCTCCACTGCTATCTGTACCATCTCTGCCAAATCTTGTTCCGACATCATTCAGACCTGTAAAGCCAGAGAGAGCCACAAAACAACATCATTATTGCAAATAAAAGAGCATTGACATTCTCTGGCTGTTCAACCCCAACATAAGTGAATGTATGACTGTCAGTAATAAGCAAACAAAACAAAGGGGGTTGTTTTAAAAGAAAACCTGATATTTGCCTGTGGTTTGTTCTGTGCCTTTTGTTTACCTGGACCTCATGATTCAAGAATGAGTCAGACACCACCACTCACTGCATTGGCTCCATCTTACACTGACTCTAATCACACTCACAAGACTATATCCACTCATTCACACAAACACTCATAACACACACACACGCATACCGACACCACAGACATACACACACTGATCATATAGTGCTGCTACCCTGGTCTTCATTTTACTCTTATTATCATCTATCCTGATGCCTAGTCACTTTACCCTTGCTTATATGTCCATATCTACCTCAAGTACCCCTGCGCATTGATATGGTTCTGGTACTCCCTGTATGGCTTAATTATTGTGCATTTTATTCCCCTTGTGTTATTATTTGTATTTTTCTTATTTTTAACTCTGCATCGTTGGGAAGGGCTCGTATTTAAGCATTTCACTGTAAAGTGACGTGACAAATACAATTTGATTGGGGACTGGGATGCATTTATTTCAATATTGGTTGGGTCATGTGAATTTACTAGGCTTATTTAGAGGGCCATATATCCTGATTTGGCATAGAATATGCATATTGTATCATTTCAATATTACAACCTGCCATTATATTACAGGCAAATTACCACAAGGTCAATATAACATGACTGAAGGACTGACTACCTGAGCCATTCGCTGCAACTGAGATATATTACATTTGCTCTGAGCCCGGTAGCTAGTAAAAGTATTTATTTTATTTTATATTTGATTAAATGTCTATCAACTCAGGTAATGAAATGCTGTTGATAGTAATAATGACTGGTTAATGTCTGGTTCTATTTTTCAAAACACCTGATTTCCACAAGAGGGCACTCAACTCCCACCCTGTTTGAAATTCAGGTTGACTCTCAAAGCTCTTTCCTTGACAGGATGTAGCCTTGATTTTTCACAATGAATCAAGGTGAGAATCTCAATTGCATTTCCTTGACTCCTCATGTCCTCTCTCCTCACCTACCTCTCAAAACCCATCGGAGGAGGTCATAAGCAAACGATCTCTGACTTTCTAATCCAATGGGTTTTGAGGAGGCGAGAGGACATGAGGAGTCAAGGAAATGCAATTGAGATTTTCCCAACGGCTCTGTCCAGAAACAACCCCTAGCTACTTGTGGAGATCAAATAGGATATGATGAGTTAAAAATAATATGATGATAGCTCCACCTTGGCCTCTGACATGCTAGATTAAATGTTTGTCAAATTGCTTACACCTGTTCAATCCTCTCAAAGGACGAGGAGTCAAGGAAATGCAACTGAGATTCTCCAAAGGGCCCTGTCCAGAAACAACCCCTAGCCACTTGTGGAGATCAAAGAGGGTATGGTGATAGCTCCACCTTGACCTCTGACATGCTAGAAGAAATGTTTGCCATATTGCTTACACCTGTTCAACTCTCTCAAATCTCCACAATTGTCCAGATGTTAGGGGGTGTTTCTAGACAGGGCCCTGGAATCGAGGACAAAACAATTGAGAAAGAGCCTTTTTCATTGATATTCTGTGTGCTGGGGTGAAGTTTTACCTGAGTGGGTCTGAGTCATAGAACAAATAACACTATTTATAAGCCACTCACTAGTGTTGGCTTCTTGTTGAGCAAGACTCCTAATGTGGGTGCATCTGGAAAGGAGAGGAAGTTACTTTATACTCCTGAGAATGATGTACCCTATGGTTCCTTGAAATAAACATGTATTTTAAAAGTGATCAGTTTACACATCAATTTCTCTTCTTTCACAGTTCCACACCAATGTTTAATTAGTTGAATATACTGGAGAACGGTTCAATGAGTATGTGCCATGGTCTAACTTTGCCTGCTAATCATGGAATATTGTGTAGTGCCTAGTGGCACAAAAAGTACACCACTACCTAAATGCAGATACGTTTGTGGATTTTGGTGTGAAGGCCACCATGTGAATGGGTGTAAAAAAGAATTAACAATTTAAACTGAGTAATGGTCATTACCATGTTGACAATAACATGACAGGCACTAAAATTATGTCAACTTGATCAAACGGGCAAATGGACCAGAGGCTCCTGACAACGAGCTGTTTATTTGCATTAGCTTGATCATGGTTGTAGACAATGTTAGATTGCAAGCTACATTTTAAGACGAAGTTGCAGATACATGTTTTAGGTCTTCTTGATATTTATTCTTAGCTATCTAAATCGACACTCCCTAAAAACACGCCACTTCCATCTACGACCGGAAGTTACTTTTTCGTAGCAGGTTAGAACTTAAGCAGCAGGTTGGGAGAATTAGGTTATGGTTAGGAAAAGGGTTCGCGAAAAGTTAACTTCCGGTCGTAGCTGTAACGAAGTGGCGTGTTTTAAGAGTCCCGCCTGGTCCTAAATCATGACTGTCCACCATTGCATGTAGCTAGCTTGCTAACTGACAAGTCTCATTTACATTCTAGATAGGCCTAGATTTATCAATGCATTGTGCATTTTGATGTAGATGCTATTGGATTTCTTAGTTAAATTGAAATTATGTAAGGGCAAACCATTACTGAGCAGTTAGCAGGCGTGCGCTACTTTGCTAGTTTGTTGGGCTAGTATCTATGCAGGGTAAATAGGGAAACATAACGTTAGCTGACATATCTTCCAGAACAGGCTACAAATTGAGTCACAGATAACAGTGTATTTAGATGTGATGTATCCGGGCAAAAACATTGCCATTCCATCAGGTAAACTAGCTAGCGACCTCACATTAGCTATTTGTAGACGGAAGAAGAGCGTTAGCTGCAGCGTGCTACTAGCCAGAAGACACAAGCACGCAATGGTAGCTAGCTAGGCCTCAATGTCTGTTCGTAGCCGCGGAATAGATATATGTTGCGGTTTGTATCATATTAATAGTCCTGTGAAATAACATTTTGAATGCGGGTTCAAAGCACCCAGTATCTCCACTTCTGGCTCACGAGATATGTACCGTGTTAGATTGGGTTATATTACCGTGTGAATGATGAATTCTCGTGTTGTTTGTAGGGATTCCGATAACGGCGTCCTTCCTCGCGAGAGAAAAAGCCTGAACATCGCCTCGCTTCCTCGCCTTCTTTCTTCTTTTTTTGGGAGGGGCGGATCGCAACCAACTGACATGTGCATACACCGCCACCTACTGTACAGGAGTGTGAGTCCGGTCACGACCGATCTATACCACTATATTCTCTTATGAACCTCTTAAATGTAAAGTGCCCATATTTGGGGACCCTACTTGATTTGTTTTATTCAATTCAGTCTGGTATGAGAACGGAAGCCCCTATCTGCAAAAGCAAGGGTGTCTGCGGAAAGCTGAGTATCTTGGCTATTGATCGGTGCCTTCAAATCTTTAGTTCGACTTACAAACATATATGGGCATACACATTTATAAGGGCAGGCTGACCCAATGACCTCATTTCAAGATGGCTGCTACCTACATTCCGGTTAGCGTTGTGAAGCATAAACGAAATAAACACGGAATACATTGATACACACCGAAAGCCGGGACTCCACAGATCATGAGGATATCATATTTGTCTGCCTGTGACCTACCGTTATTGATCACCAGCCCAGAGTGTCAAAATGTTTATTTTTCACCAAACATCTAACAAGGTAAGCTTCCATTTGGTCTGTGTTTGAGCTATAGCTACATGGGGGGTATCAAATTAATCCTTAGGTTGGTAAGGACAAATCTAGCCTATTGCCAATGTAATCTGATGATGTATGACTTAATGGGAACATCGAATGTCCACCGAGTGACTATATCTTTGCATGTCAGAATCATGTAATTACACATGAATAGCAGTTACTTTTGGGTATGTGTATTTAGGCGGAAATCTACATTTTGCCATTATATTTAAGAGGAGTGTGAGGCCGATCACGACCTATCTATACCACTATATTCTCTTAACTAACCCTGAATTTCTAACAAAATTAAACAATTCCCTACGAACCTCATTACTCCTATCACCCCCACCAAAAATACCACCCACTCCCCATTCCCGTCCAACCTCTCTGACCCTGTCAAACCAGCTCTCCCTTTCTACATCATACATTTCACAAAATAATAATACTTGGTTCAACCGTTTCCTCTACCATACAGCCATTACACATTCCAGTACCATGTTTCTCTATCAATTTCAGAGGTATTCAATCCCGTATGCCCTAATCTCTTCCTACACAACATAACATCAACATAACTATTCCCATTATATGACACTATCTCCCATACAGATTTCCTTGTACTATAAAAATGTCTGCCCTTACTACTTTCCTTCTATTATCTCTGCCAGCAGTCTAACCCATTTTTCAGAATCAATGTTTTAATGCCCTTCTACCCAACTGCACCTGTATATCCACAATATTATTTTTTACTGCTTTTTTTGCTATTATATCGACTATCATTTCCATAAACTCCTGTATGAGCCAGAATCCAACAGAACTGAATGTCAATACCATTTCTTTGCAAGCCCAACAACAGCCTCATTATTTCTAACCATAAATCCTCACGTTCTGACTTTCCAAATCTTAAACTACACAAAACTGATGCAGAGTCCGAACATATTACTATTCTTCTTGGTTGCACCTCCTCTATTCATTGCAATCCAACAATTATCGCAACCATTTCTGTTGAATATACAGATTAATCATTTGTTAGTCTCTTGCATAGAATAACATTGAACTCAGGAATAAATACACCTGGTCCTGTCTTCCCAATTATGGGATCATTTGAACCATCTGTATACACTGCAAGGCAAGAATAAAACAGATTACTAATATATTGATCCACTATTGTTCCTACATTATCTTCTTCACACCACTGTTTCTTTTATTCGATCAGGCTAAGAT